AAAGAAAAGAAAAGAAAAGAAAAGAAAAGAAAAGAAAAGAAACTCATGACCATCAAATCAACCCTAAGAAGAGTACTGAAAGATATTCTAGACAGAGACAAAAGTGAACACAATTCCAAGAATAGCAACAGAAAGAAACCATCAGGCAGACAAGCAATAAACAGAGCAGAAAAGCAGGAAACCAATAGCAGAAAAATATCATGACAAAGGTAAGCCAATACATATCAGATATAACCATCAATGTAAATAGCCTCAATTCACCAATCAAAAGAAACATACTGGCAGAGTGGGTCAAGAAATACGATCCAACAATATGTACATAAGAAACACAGTTAAGTAAAAAAGCAATTTAGAGACTGAAAATTAAAGGATATAAAACATCTTGTATGTAACAGGAACCCAGAAAAAAGCAAGAGTAGCTGTTCTGTTTGCAGATAATATGAATTTCAAATCAAGAATGATGGAAAGAGATAAATAAGTTCACTACATACTTGTTAGGGGAAAACTTCAAGAGAAATAGATAACAATCATAAATCTACATGAAACAAATGTGGGGGGTGCCCCACTATATAAGACAAAGATTAATAGACATGAAAAATCAAATAAACAACACAATTTCAATGGGGGACCTTAACATCCCATTGACACAAAGAGATAGATCCACTAGACAACAAATTCAGCAAAAAATAACAGAACTGAACCAAACTTGTGAAGAAATGGACTTAGGAGACCTTCACAGAGTGTTCCCCTCAACAACATCAGAATACACATTCTTCTCAGCTGTGCACAGAATATTCTCCAAAATAGACCATATACTAACCCTTAAAACATGCTTAAGTAAATGCAAAGCAATTGAAATTATCTGATGCATATTGTCTGAATGAAATTGGAAATTATTGACAGAAGAAACCATAAAAATATGGATATTAAATAACACCCTCCTGAAAAACCAATGGGTCACAGATGAAATTAAAGAAGAAATTAAACAATGTATATAAATAAACAAGAAAACAGATACAACATAAAATAAACGAAAGAAGATACAACATACTTTTATTGAGACACAATAAAAGCATTCCTAAGAAGTAAATTTATACAGTGAGTTCTCAAGTCAGGAAAACCAAATGAGCACAAACAAACAACCTAGTGCTGCACCTCAACCTCCTAGGAAAAGAAAAACAAGATGAACCTACAGTCTGTACAAGGGAGGAAATTTTGAAGATCAGGCCTTCAAAAATTATTTGTATTGTTTTCTTAGTGTTCATTGCAAAAATTAATGCAATGAACACTAGGAAAGCAATACAAATAATTAATTGAAGTTGGTTCTTGGAAAGAATAAATAAAATTGATATACCCTTAGCTAACTTTAGTGAAAGGAAAGAAAGGACACAAATTCATGGTTTGATGAATGAAAAGGATGAAATTATTACAGATTTTGTGAAGGCCGGCCAGATAGCTCAGTGGATTAAAGTGCATGTTTAGGCAGATGCAGGGGCAGGGTGTTTGTTCCCCAGCCTGCCGTGCCTGACCTGCTGTGCCAGCCCCATCCCCAGAAAGCACGGAGACTGGGCGTGGTGGCATGCACCTGTAATTAGTGCTTGGGAGGTTGAAAAACAGGAAGCATCACTATGAGTCTGATCTGTGTAGTGAGACACTGTAGGCCCTGTATTAAATACATAAAAAAAAATAAATAAAAATATAGATTCTGTGCAAATTCAGAAGATAATCAATGCTTACTTCAAAAATCTTACTCTCATAGGATGGAAAACACAGAAGAAGTGGACAGATTCTTAGATACATATGAATTACCAAAGCTGAATCAAAAAGATAAAAATTCTGAATAACCCAATATCAGTTAATGAGATTGAAAATATAACTAAACACTTATCAACAAAGAATAGCCAAGCTCATGATTCAAATGTAATTCTACAACAAATTTAGAGAAAATTTCATACTAATACTCCTTAAGCTTTTTAATGAAACAGAAAGAGAAGCAATACCCCTAACTTATTCTTGGAAGCAAGGATTACCCTGATAACCAAAGAGGAGAAAGACACAACCACAAAAGAAAGCTATAGGCAAACCTCCCTAATTAACATAAATGCAAAAATACTCAACAAAATAATAGCAAGCAGAATACAGCGAATCATCAAGAAGATTATACACCATGACAAATTGGTATTCATCCCAGCAATGCAGGAATGGTTCATTCAACATATACAAATCAATAAATATAACACTTATATCCACAAGCCAAAGTCAAAAATCACAAGAAAATCTCAATAGATGATTAAAAATCTTTTGACAAAGTCCAACACTCAATGATGATAAAAACCATACAGAAAATAGTACAGCATTCAACATGGACAAAAACTAAAAGCATTCACTCTAAAAACAGGTACAAGACAAGGACGTCCACTATCACCACTCATTTAATATAGCTCTGGAAACTTTAGCCCAAGCAATTAGTGATGAGAAAGAAAGAACAAGAATAAGGATAGGAAAGGAAGAAGTGAAATTAACATTATTGAAAGATGACATAATACTTTACAAAGACCTCAAAAACTAGATAAAAAACTTCCAGATTCAAAAGCCAAATTGAGTAGCATAGCTGAATACAAAGTCAACTCTCAAAAATCATTAGTGTTCTTGTACACAAACAACAAACTCACTCAGCAAGAAATTTGGAAAAAAAAAGAAATTAGGTAAGCCAAATCCTTCACAAATGCTATATTGAAAAAAAGAAAGAAAGAAAGAAAGAAAGAAAGAAAGAAAGAAAGAAAGAAAGAAAGAAAGAAAGATAGATTTGGGAATTAATCTAAGAAAGTAATTAAAAGATCTATACATTGAAAATTATAGTATTGTGAAAATTGTGACTGAAGATATCAGAAAATGGAAACTTATACCTTGCTCATGGATCAGAAGAACAAGGAGGCCTGTCCATTAGCTCAGTTAAGTGCCTGTTTAAACAAAACAGTCAGGCTCAGGATGCTGTGGTTCGATCCCCAGATCCACAAGCCAAACCAGACCTGCTCTGAAGGCATCATGAGGCTGCCAAAAAAAGAAGAACCAGCACTGTGAAAATGGCCATATTTCCAAAATTGTTGTAAAAATTTAATGCAATCTCTATCAAAATACCATTAGCACACCTCACAGAACTAGGAGAAAATATTCCTACAATTCATCTAGAACAAGAAGAAACCTAGAATAGCAAAAGTAATTCTGGGCAACAATGGCAAAGCAGGAGGAATTAAAATCCCAGACTTGAAATTAGACTACAAAACTACTGCAATAAAGTTAGCATGGCACTGGCAAAAAAAAACAAAACAAACAAACCTGAGCATCAGTAGAACAAATTTGAAGATGTAGAACCATAAGGACACTCATCCACCTTATCCTTGATATAGAGGCCAAACATAGGCACTGGAAGAAAGCTAGCTGCTTTAATAAAAAATGGTGCCAGACAAACTGGTTGTCTACATGCCAAAGACTAAAACTAGAACCATCTCTATCACTATGCACTAAAGTCAAAATGGATCAAAGATCTAAATGTTAAAAGCAAAATACTGAATCTACTGGATGAGAAAATAGGTAAAAACCTTGAAAACTTATAGGCAGAGACTTCATGAACAAAACTCATACTGCATGGGAAATACTCCAAAGAATGAACAACTGGGATCTCATCTTATTAAAAAGCTTTTGCACATCAAAAGACATCACAAAGAGTGAAAAGACAACCTACAGATTGGGGAAAAAAAATTAGCCAATAGTCTCTCAGGCAAAGGATTTCTATCTGGAACATATAAAAAATTAAAAAATCAACCCCCCCAAATTTATAGACCCAATCCAAAAATGGGCATTTGAGATGAATACACACATCTCATATGAAGAAACACAGGTATCAAATACACAAAAAAATGTTCAACATCATTGGTCATTTGAGAGATGTAAATGAAACAACACAGATTCCATCTTATGCCAGAAAGGATTGCTGCCATCAAAAAATCAACCAATAAAAGAAGAAAGGAATTATTCTCTCCTGTTGGTGAGTGTGTAGACTTTTGCAACAACTGTGGAAACTGGTGTTGAGATTCCTCAAAAAACAAGGATTAAAGGTCTCATTTGACCGAGCTATTCTCTTTCCAGGGTTTTTCCCAGAAGATTTAAATACATCATACTACAGTGATTTATGTGCACCTGTCTTTACAGCAGCACAATTTGTAACAGATAAACCTTGAAAACAACACAAATGCCAATCAGTTAAGCAATGCATAAAAACATGTGGTATTTTTATATAATGGAGTATTACTCAGCTTTAAAGAAGGATAAACTTAAGACTCTCATAGGTGAAAGGGTACAACTTGAGACCATACAATTAAGTGTATTATCTTCCTAGTGTAAGAAACTGAAATAGTAAGAGCCAAAATGTACATTAGATTACTGGGAAATGGGAAGAAACTGTTCAAAAGGAAAGAGAAACTGAAATGGGGGAAAAGAGAAAAGAAAGGAAAAAGAAAAAAAATATATATGTAAAGATAGCTGTACTACTAATTTCTATTAGTTTTTCCAAAGGAAACGTTTGTGCTTACATCATTTGATCAATTTTTCATGCCTATATCTTTTTTTTTAGATTTTTTTTTCTGGAACTAGGGATTGAACTCAGGTCCTTGCAATTGCCAGGGAAGCACTTATTCCACTGAGCCATCTCCCCGGCCCCCCATGCCTATATCTTGTAATGAGAAACTACTTTGAAAATAACAATGTACTATCCATTGTTGCTCTCATATTTTTGTTTGAATTTTTGTATCATTTTGACTTTTCTCTTCAAAATAAAAAAAAATTAAAAAGAATTTGTGGACCTGTTCTTAGTTTCTGCCAGTTTTTACAGTAAAGGTTAATTGCCCATGATCAATAGTATCTAAAAAGCTTATTCAGTGATACCAATTTCCTAAGACCTTTTTTTCTAGCAGATGAATTGCATCATGCCACCCAGCTGATACTTCAAGTCTGCACTGAGAAGGCCCCCAACTCTATTCCATACTGTGTCTATCTCCTTTTCATTCTTAAGATTCCTTCCTTATTTTTTTTCCTTGTTTAAAATAGACAATCTCTTCTACATATAACTGTATGGCTTGACATTGTCATGTTTCCTAGCTCTTCTCCTTTCCCTCTCTTGATTAGTTAGTCCTCAAGATCCTGCTTTGCTTTTACTTGTATTATACCTTTCTACTTGTATTTCTTCTGAGTACTTATACTAGGGAAACTATACAATATTTACACATGTGTCTGGTTTATTTCACTTATATCTTCAAGTGGCGTCTACTTCAATATAAAGGCTTCGAGTTTATCATTCTTAATAGCTGAATAATATTCCATTGTGTAAAAATAGCACATCTTTTTCAACCATTCCTCAGGTGATGGGCATCTTGGTTGTTTCCAAGATTTGGCTATCACAAATTGTGCTGCTATAAACATAGGCACACATATATCCCTATGATATGTTTTCAGATCCTCTGGGGAAATTCCAGTAGAGGAATAGCTGGTTTAAATGGGATTTTTAGTCCAACTTTTCTAAGGAGTCTCTACACTTATTTCCATAATGGTTACACCAGTCTATTCCCACCAGCAGTGGAGAAGGGTTCCTTTTTCCCCACAGCCTCTCCAACATTTGTTGTTGGGTGATTTCTTTATGATAGCCATTCTTTCTGGGGTGAGATGATATCTCAATGTTGTTTTAATTTGCATTTCATGGATGGTTAGTGATGTGGAGCATTTTTCATATATTTATTTGCTTCATTAATTTCATCCTTTGAGAAGTGTGTGTTCATCTCAGATGTCCATTTCTGGATTGGGTCTTTAAATTTTGAGGCCCTAGTGTTTTCTAGTTCTTTATAAATTCTAGAGAGCAGACCTTTGTCTGAGTACTTATTTGTCATGATTTTTTCCGAATTTGTGAGTTGCCTTTTCACTTTGTTTGTAATTTCTTTTGATGTGAAAAAACTCAGTAAGAACAGGTCCCAGTTGTTGATTCAACTGTTTCCCGTGCGATTTGATTTCTGTTCGTGAAGTCTTTGCCTACCCCTATGTCTTCAAGAGTTCCTCCTACTTTCTCTTCCAGGAGGTTTAGTGTCTTTGCATTAATGTTTAGATCTTTAATCCATTTTGACTTTAGTTTAGTGCATGGTGATAGACCTGGGTCAAGTTTGAGTTTTC